CGTGGGGTCTCTGTCCCCGGGGGTGACCCATCAGTCACCTTCTGGCTGCTGAGTAGTCCCGGTAGAAGCTTAAGGGAGTTTCTGGGCAGACGACCTCCCTGCAGGGTGGGGCTGCTGGGTCCCCTGACCTGCAGGTAGCAGTTGTTCCTGGTGAGGGAGGAGAGAGTAACCAGGGCAGCAGGCGACTGGCCCACAGATGGGGATGTGCTTGCCTGCCGCGCCCTGAGCTTTACTGACAACGCCTGGCCTTCCTCCAGCTGAGGAGAGAACAGAGCCCGCAGGATCCAAGCCCTTGTCTCAAATTAGAGTTAAAAAGTGGATTTGGAGCTAAGGGATGATAATCAGTACCAGGCCCAAATATGCAAATATCCACATGCAAATTTCTGTGTGTCAGTTGGTTGGTGCATACCCTTGAAGCCCACTCTGCATTTATTTGTTATAAATTCAATCTCCTCAGGTCATAGAGTCCCTTCTAGATTTAAAATATTTGTCTTCCATTGCAGTGACTTTTTGAAAGCACATGGGCCACTTGACAGAATTTCTTTCAATATGAATTTATCTTTGGGAAACAATGTTATCCAGTTTTAAAATTGTGTCTAAACCTTTTCAGTTTTATAAGCCTATCTGAAATGTATACCTATCATGGTAGACGTTTTTATTTTATTAGTGATATTAAGTTTGACCATTTGTTTAAAGTAGCACATGTCTTTATTCCTGAATTGCAAGTAATAAGTAACTATTTTAAAAATATTCATCTTTTCCTCAACAAATATTCAGTCAATGGACTTAGCCCCCATTTATGATTCTTATTTTAACCCACTATTGGGACATACGTGACATGACAGTACTCCTGGGCTTTCATTCCCGGGAGTGGTGAGTAACTTGAAGAGCTCAAACAGCTGGGCTCAGCTGGGTCACAGACCACATCCCTGGACAATACTGTCCTTGTGTGGTTCCAATACGGGTTTGTACTGGAGGTTGCTGCAAAGCCTGGTCAGAACCAGCCTCCCTCCTTTCCTGCCTCTCTCCCACTTCCCCTCATCTCAGGACAAACATCTTGGAGTCCTTGTCTTGGCATTTATTCCAAAGAAGCTATTTAATAGTGAGAATTGGGGCAACTATTGCATTCTAATGGACCTCGAGATATGAAGTATATTTTTATTTTTAAACTAAAACATATTTTTTAGTTTGAAATGCCCTGAGACTTTTAATTTATGACCTAGAGTCCAGAAGTTGTTTTTGTCAATTATAAACCCATTTGTTCAAGAAATTAACCATTCATCAAGTCTTATGTACTGAACACAGCACTGGACACTGCAGCACTAGAGGGGGGAGCTTACTGCCAAGTGCTGTAGGTTGCGCACAAGCTGCAGTCCTACTCACGGAAGAGTTCATGACGCCCACTTTTCATCTTGGCAAGTGGGTGACAGTAGATGCTAAGTACCCCAAAGCCTCTGACATCAGCAGCTTAGTGCCATTTGGAGATGGTAGAAACTTTAACTGGTGGGAACTGAGGGTGTGGGTCCTTGGGAGGGAGCAACTGTGGCTCTGGCCTCTTCCTCTTTTTCCCATGGCTTTCATTCATGAGATGGGCAACTTGCTCCACCCCGAGTTCTTGTCACAATACACTGCATCACAGGTCTGAAAACCAGAGTGCCAACTGACTGTGGACTGGATCTTCTGAGAATATGAGCCAAAACAAGACCCTTGTTTCTGTGAGTTTATCTCAGGTCGTTGTTACAACAATGGAAAGATGAATAGCTAACTAGCCATTTTGCTAAATGGATATGATAAATACCTAATACACACATACACACACATGCATACACATGCACACACACATGCATGCAATGCACACCCACACAGGTTAGCTAACCTTCCCACAGTGTCATGCCATCTACTTCTCAGCAGATCTAAGCCTGTCCTTATTTTGGGAGGTCCCAATGTACACAGGTTTCCACTAACATGGAGTCCTACAAAGGAAGAAGTTCTTGTAGGTAGAAAACACTCCGAGAATGTGTCTGACATACTACCAATTCCCAACAGCATCACCTGTCTTACTAAATCAAGAAACCATTCCCAGCTACTGTTACTCTGTCATTCTTTAGCTTCTCCCTTTCAGTCTTTCTAGTGATTGGCCAATCCTTGTTTTACTAGGAGACCATACTCTAATGCTTCTGTTATTCAACTTCTTCCTAATTTATGCTCATTTAATGCAGATCCTTCTGAGCAGCTACAAAATTCATATTTTATAATTAAGGCAGCACGTCCCTAGATAGAACTCAAACTCTCCCAGCAGATTTCAGTGCTAACTATAGCATCTTTAGCAGACTGGCTCTTCTTTCTCTTGGAACTGGCCTCAATCTCTATTATAGGAAGCTGAACAACAGAATTCAGAGATATCTCACTTGTCCTTGTTTGTGGTAAGGGTAGTAGCCCTGCTAGGAGAGGGGCACAAGAGGGTCAGAAGACTATCAGCGATGGCGAACCTTTTAGAGCTGTCAGTGCCGACAAACAGCCTGCTGCATCCCTTGTGCAATGGGTTCACTGCCCCAGCTCTACACTAAATATCCCTCTCATTGTGAAGGGCCTTGAGAATCAAGGTGTTACCAAGATGCTAACTCAGTGTGATAAAGTCCCCAAGATCTCAGTCAGATTGTGGGAATTGATGTCCCAGGGGAGCCACAGGCCTGGGAAAGAACATACCAGCTTGGCATGCCTGGGTCATTCATGTTGTCTGTCTCATTTCCACCATATGCCAAAGGGAAGGATAGTAGCTATGTTCTGGATTTCATAGTGAAGTTAAAGCCAGGTAATTGTACAGATAGACATGCCGTGCATTCCAGCCATCGCTATTAGTCATCCGGAAGGCATTTTGTCAATGGGGGCTCCTGTGTGTCTGTTCTGCTTCAGGGCCATAACGGCTCAGATTCACAATCAGGAGGCTCTTTGCTCAGAGCCGTTCACCTTCATATCCAGCAACTGTTATACCTGAGGGCACCATGCCACCTTAGTCCTACTTGGGGCAAATTTGAAGGCCCAGACCTTCCTCTAGGCTCCCTGTGGGGTGCATTGACATTGTCCTGGCAATAAGAATGGCAACTCAGCCTACCTGTCTGTCTGTCTGTCTGTGCAGCTGCACATTGTACCCCTTCTGTGCACAGGTGTTGGCACCAAGGGTGTGCCTGATTAAATACCCTGTACACTCACTAACCTGCACTCCAGGTTCAGCCATGCAGCGACATCGCCTGTGACAATAGGATGGGAAAAGGGGGGTCACTTAGATGTGCCAACTCTGCGGCCTAAAATCTTTGACCATCAGAGTTGAGCTCATTCATCTTCGGTGCTCTCTAGGCTGCCTTGGAGGTGTCAGTAACTCAGCAGCCCAACTAGGATTTGTGTGTTGGTAACAACCTCAATTGGTTTTATATAGAGACAGATTTCAAATTCATATTTCTTTCTTCCAAACAATACTTTTTTTCAAGTTCTTTCATTTTCTTACCTTTCTTCATCTGCTACCTAAAGTTGCTTTTAGCCTTACAACCATAATTTCTTTTCCTGGAACTACTTAATTCATGAAACAAAGTCATTTAAACATAAGTTAGTCTTCTAAGATCTAACACTTGAAAAAATTCAATGAATGCATTTGAAGAGAGCAGACACTTATTAATCTATATTTGTAGCCAGACTAATCTCTATAAAACACTTTAACCTTCACTACTTTTTTATGAAGAAAAGATATTACATGACCCAATAGTTGTTCACATCTCAAGCTCCATATCTTACCATTTACCAACTCATCACACACACACACACACACACACACACACACACACACACACCTTTTAATTAGTGCCCAACAAAGGTCAGATGTGGAGCTGTATTTTGGAATATAATTATTTTTTCAGTCTATTGAAGTACTTTAAATTTTGTTTATGTCTATGAAATATTTAATAAATTGATAGAATTCTAGTCTATTAGAAGACTGCTAATTTCTTTTAAATTATAAACATGTCATAGCTTTGCATATAAATGTAGGTATATTCTCAGATAAAGTATTATTTTATGAAGCTGTCATTTCATGTACCAGCTTTATGATTTCTCCCCCTTTGGAATTATTCTTTTTATTTAGGAAAGCATAGTGTTAAAGAGCTCTTAAGCTGAATAGAAGAAGTGTTGGAAGAGCGTTGTTCACTCTAATTCTTTATTTTCTCCCTCTGTCCCCTGAGATATGATGGCATATTCAGGAGTGAATAAGGGAACGGGACACATGTCTGCACCTCTGTCTTTGTGAAGCTGCCTGCTTCTTTTGAATTCAGAGAGCAGCCTAAATCCTGCTCAATCCTTCTCTCATAGAAGGCATTCCAGGCGGGCGGGAAGATGGCTCAGTGGAATAAGTGCTCCCCTGGCAAGCGCAAGGCCCTGAGTTCAATCCCTGGTAAAAAAAAAAAAAAAAAATGCTTTCCAGGATGTAATCATAAACTGGAAGAAACTTTTCAACTACTTCTAAATCTTGTTTTAATGTGATAATTTTAAGCAAAATTAGCAACAGAGAAAAGATTTTTCCTAATTCTTTTCCTTTCTTTTTGCCTTCTAACTTTTACAGCATAATTTTTTGAAGGGGTTGTTCTAGTGAACCACACTTCACAAATTTAACTCTTGAATTGTCCTTGCCTTGTCTTCAATGTTGAACTTGCTCATTGTGGAATGTAATGTAAAAACAATTTCATAGTTTTTTAAAAAGTAACCAGTGAATAACTAGATTTCACTTTCTGAGTATTTCAGGGTTTTTCTGTATGTGCTCAGAATGGTAAGGTAGAAATTTAGTGAAACCAAAATTCTGCAGTCCAAGGTTTTTAATAATTGTATAACACATAAGCTATAAAATATTTTACTTCATAAGCATAGTAAAATGTATCTTGTGTTACCAAGTGCCATTAAAATATTTTGACATTCTGTGAATATCGTTTAAAATATACAAATTATTTCATACAATACAGGCCAGAGAAGACTTCCTGAAAAGAATCATTCGAGGGAAAGTGGCTGCTGGGATGATAATTCAGGTAATACTAATTTGGCTTCAATATTTTATTCTCCCTTTAATTTGCATTTTACTTAGCATTTTAAATTTGCTTGTAATGAGGCGTCTTGTCACTGCTTGGCTTGCAAGGCAGCAGTTTTCTCTCCTTTGCTGATGACAGTTGCCCTCTGTGTACAACTAGAAGTGTCTGATCATGCATAAAGAAACTGACCTCCCATACACATATCTCATTTTGTGGCTTAATGGGAATTTCTGCCAGTCTAGCGAGAGGGCAGTGGATGCTTATTCCTGTGTCTAACTCTTTACTCTGCTTTGTGATGATGTTATGTTTTCTTTATTTTTAGTGTCTCTCACTTGAGCTTCTTTATTTAACCCTGACAGCAAAAAATATGCTACAGTGGTTTATACAAAGGTTTTGTAATAAAAGGCAGCAAAATTGACATCAAGTTTTAATTCTTATCTACCACCTGCACACCTTATGGATATGCCAGTTGGGGTTTGTGACTCATGCCATGGTTTCAGAAGGCTCCAGATTTAGAATCAAAGACAATCATAACGTGATAATAGCCATGACCATGATGGTGAGAAAAATGGAGAAAACAGTTCAAAATATTGGTGGTAGGTGAGGTTGTCTGCACTTGTTTTTTTTAAAAACAAAGACAAATCTTATAATTTATTCTGATAGGAAATTTGTCATTTTCAAGCATGTAGCAACCAGAAATTTCATCTTCAGCTCCATATAGAAACCAGAAGTTTCTCTATATGAATTTTTGAAAATGACAAATTTCCCATGTCATTTTTACCCATGTACACCCAATAATCCCATAGATTTTCTATCCATAGATTGCCTAATATTTTGCTATTAATTTCCTGCTCACTAGTCTTCCTTGATATTAGAGGGAAGGAATTGCATATATCCAAAACGTGTTGCCAGTATATTCTGTAACTTATTGTCTTCCACTACTTACTTAAGAATTTGTGGTTTTTATTGTCCATTAATTTTTCTTTCATTTCATCAGGTACTGTTTGTGTGCTCTTTAAATATTCATTTATGCCCTTTGCTTTTTATCTGGTGGATTCTCTTGTTTTATTTTCAAATAGCAGCAAAGGTGATCGCCTAATACAGGGTAAGAGCTTAATCAGTGGTTAGGCAAATAACGACTGAATTAATCATGTTGAATCTCTGCTTACAGAAAAATCTCTATGCCATTCAGGAAGACCAGTCACTTGAGAGGCAGAACCTCATGAAAAAGAAAGCAATATATGCACTCACACTGGCCGAAATACTGGAGCCTCTACAGAAATTAGAAAACGATGCTGTGAGAATCAACGAGATGCACAAAGAACAAGCTGAGGTAAGTATTTATTGTTACACCGGAAACTAACTTGTAGGAGCCCTTCGGATGGTAACTCAAGTATGTGAGTTTGCATTATTGTTTGGGAAATTGTGACTTCACATAGAAAAGCCGTGGACCCAGTGATCTTTCAGGACCACCCTACTGACCTACCAAGGCACTTTCCTTCAAGACCTATTTGAACCTTATGCTCTCATAGGTTACTCAGAAAAAGCAGTTTTCAAATGGGTGAGCAGTGATTTAGCTGTTTTAAATTTAATTTAAAGTCTTCACTACTTCTAAATGGAATGCTAAAGTTAAGTTCACTGAAATGTAAACTATAAGGTATCTTGATATTTCATGGTAAATGTTTGATGTATCTGGAAATTACAGACAGCTATGGTGAAAAATGAAGGAAATGTTGCTAAAATATTTTCAAAACTGCAAGTTTATGACAGTAACTGATATCACTAGCCCTTCCCAAAGAAAAGTGATAGTAGAAAAATATGAACATACCCTATCATTAGTCTTCTGGAGAAGTGGAGGGAGTGGTAAGAGCTATATATTCTTTGCTTTCCTTGCCAGGAGTACATACATATATTTATTGGACTACTTTGGCAACAAGTTTTTTTTGAAATAGTAATGTAACTTCATACTCCTGATCATTAATAGCTTTCTAAATATCTTTATTTTTTAGAAAACTTGTGTTGGTATTATAAATGTTTATTTGGATCTTCAAAGCCTCCCGAAAAATAGCCAAATGGAAGTGCATTTGTATCATGAACTAGAAAACAGCTGAGCGTACTCAGGTTATGAAGCATGATACAAGAACTTTTGCTAACTCTCCACTAGGGTTTATGAATTCTGCCTTAACAGCTAACCAATAGATTAGCAGTAGTAATACCCTGTGGGATAAATGATTGGAGCAGTGGCTCCCCCTTCCATTAATGATAGAAATGTATTAATTACTTCAGAACGCTTGTGGAAGTTTCCGAGTATAACTAATCCAGAAAAGATTAATGGCTTGTTTCTCCTTATCTTAGAATAGACATGGTTTTATACCTTTTGTAGTTCAGGAAGCATTTTTTATTTTATCATATTTAACAGTTAACAGATTATAAGTCATCACTGAGCACAAACTCTAGAAAAGAGCAAACTCATACACATTGTGGTAATGATAACTGGTGACTTGTATTTGTAACTTGAATTTTGTTTGAAATATTTTAGATATCATAATGAAAAAATTATAATTTCTATGGAACTTTGGGGTTTTTTTCCTTGATTTACAGTGGTTATATTTTGTTTTTTTTAAGAAGTGCAAATAACATATTGGGAGTTTAGATATTGTGGTGTGTTTCTGTTAGTCATGTGTAGTGGTTCTTTCACTTTATTTACCAAAATAAACATTGTCAATAAAATAGCCACTTAGTTATTATTTGGTCTAATCCAGCATAATTGAAGTATAAATGTTGCATGACTTAATATCTGGATGTCTTCTAGCTTCTCAGTGATGTATTGCAGAAGGAAAACTATGTTAAAAGAAAAGTGGTACAAACAAAGAATAAATTGCAAAGAAAGGAAAAGAAAACTCGTCATAAACTAATAAGAACCGAGGTGAGAAATGTAATTTCAAAAGGAAATGTTACATTTACAATTTATTCACATAAGTGAAAAAGAATCAAGCTAGTTTAATTTTAGGTGCTGTTTGCATTCCTAATTGTTTGCATAAACGGCCTGCAAGAGGGCGAGGGACTGTGCACTCCTGCCCGCAGTCTCTTGTCTTTCCACTGGTCCACTCTGTCAAGACCTCGCCCCTCATCGGGATAAAATACAAATCAAGATCCAGACCAGATAGATGTGTGTAGAAATCTGCTGCTTTCTACATTTGCCACGCTGGCTCCTAATGCGTGGAGATTTAAGGGAAACATGAAGAAGAACAGCGAAAACAAAAGAAAGAAGGAAGGACAGAGGAAGGAAATGAAGAACGTTTGTTTGTCTCCAAAACTCATGCATTGAAAAAATCTACAGTGCAATAGTACAGGGAGGTGAGGTCTTAGGGCGGAGTAGAGGTCGTGAGGGCCCAACTGTCATAAATGGTACTGATGTCCTTATAAAGAGGCCCGAGGGAGGCTGCTCACGTCTCCACCACGTGAGGACCCCCAGGGGGCACCATGGAGGGAGCGAGGGAAGGAGGGAGGGAAGGGAGCAGGGGAGAAGGGAGGGAGGGGAGAAAATGGAGAGAGGGAAAGAGAAGGAAGAAAGGAAGAAGGAAGGAGGGAGGGAAGAAGCAGAATGGAAAGAAGGAAATGTGGGAGGAAAGAAGGAAAGGAGAAAACAAAGTAGCACGTGAACTTGATGAAGAGTCGCATGATTATACTTTTTTTGTTTGAAGCTGAGAGATGCCATTATATTTTTTTAAATTTTTAAATAGAGTACAAAATAGTAATAAAAATTAGAAATGATACAGAATTTCACTAAACAAAATAATATGAATTTGATGGTAGGTATTTGTTGTATCACATAATGGGTGGAATCTTTTATGCTACCATTTAACTGTAGCTACTGTTTCACTCCATATCTACCAAAGATCGCACTTGAAACTACCAAAGATCATATTTAACATAGATATGCTTATAAACTAGTAAGCATTTTATTTTCAGATACCTACTTTGAATCATTAATGTAAAATATTTAGTTTAAAATGATATCATAACATATAGGTTAACATTCAAAAAGGGAAAAGTTAATTTAAGAGATGTACACAACTCTTTAAATTTTCAGACAGTTACTAGTATAGTTCAGGTTTTGGAAAGTATCTTCAGTTAAATTCTCAATTATATGATACCCTATTGGAGCTAAAGCTCACACATGATGAATTTCATGAAGAAGTGCCGCTCAGGGAAAGAAGGTAATTTTGAAAGAGTTTTACTTCCACTTCTTAAAGGACACTGTGGCCTGAATTCCACTGGTTCCCTGTCAGCTCCAAGCCACACTGCTCCTCCATGCCTCTTTTCTTTTCTACAAAACAGTCATCATCAACTACACCTGTGCTATTTGGCTCTTGTCTATCTCTTCCCGTAGCTGTGCAGCTGACATTCTGTAACCTATCAGGTTGACAAGGCCCAGACCCACTTCTTCCAACGAAGGTGGGGATGTAACCCAAAGTTGCTTGGCAGAGTCACCATTCTTTGTAGCCACCAGATGGAGCAGGAAACAAAAGAGATGCCTTAGTTTGTCTGACCAGGTGTGAGCACAAGCAGGACAGCAGAGTGGAGAGATGGGAGGCGATCCGGGGTGCACTGAAAGATTGCCAAGGAGAGCTGCGGGAGGACAGAGGGATAGGCTAGCAGTGCATGAGATTGTTTAGGACATAAATACTATACATGAAAAAGCTAGACGAATAAGGGCATTGGAAGTATTAAGTGAATGGTCTCCACTATTATTATCATTATGTAATTTTAAGTTGATTTTTTTACATTAATGTTTAACATTTTAAAAACAAACTCTATATCTGCAAAGCAAAAGGATGATGATAGAATGCTATGCCTTGCATGACTACAAGTGGCTCAGTATAGAAGCACCAAGAATGCTATACTTGCTATGGAACCTCATTAGAAGGAAACTAAACCTGTCACCGTATTCAACAACACTGATTAGCATTTCTTAAGTCCTAATTATTCCTGTTTGTGTACAGCCAATGCTATGAACATCATTTCTATCTTCTCATAACTTGTTAGAAGACAATTTTATCTTTCAATTCGATTAAACTCCATTCATGAACCAAGTTAAACAGTATTCCTGAATTTTTATTAGGTTTAACTTCAGTGTAAGGGCCAGGGAGATAGCTCAGAGAATAAGCACTTGCCTGGCAAGTGCAAGGGTCTGAGTTCAATCCCTGGTTCCACCAAACTAACAAACAAACAAACAAAAACACAACTTCAATGTAAAACTTAGGTGTGGAATCTCAACTTATGGTATTTGATTACACAAAAATGTGTTAATCAAATTAAATAAAATTTTTAAAAATAATCTGAAACATTTTAGTCTCAATATAACTTTTTCTAATATTTTTGACAAGGTTTTGAAACAATAAACTAATAAATAAAATTATATATTAATATATTGACTGCATTTTGAACATCCAGAACCTTCCAGGCATAGGCATGAAGGTAACATTTTGTGAATAAATGTTCCCCTTAAAACTAGGGAAAAACTAGCCCCAAAATGTAGCCAACTTACAGAGACACTGTTTTTAGGACTCAATTCCCACTTACTATGGTGATACTTAAACATCATTAAAAGAGGTCCAGGGCCAGTAAGATAGCTCAGTGGACTAAGTGCCTGCTTAGGCAAACTCAGGGACCAGTGTTCGATCCGCAGTCCAGCATGCCACACCAGCCCCACCCATGGGGTGCACTGAGCCAGCTACAGAGTCGGGGCGTGGTGGCTCACACCTCTAGTCCCAGTGCTGGGGACCCTGAAAACAGAAGGATCACCACAAGTTGGATCTGTATAGTGAGACCCTGTACCAAATACATAAATAAAAAAAAAGAGAAAGAAAGAAAAGAAAAGAAAAAGAGGTCCAAATAACTACGCAAGTTTCCCAGCTGTTGCTACTCAGGATGTGTAGGTGTGTACTGTTGACTGAGATGGGTGTCATCAGTTTCTCCTCTCCACACCCAGCCCACCAGGGGAACATTTATAATCTTTCTGGTGCTGTGGAAGGAGACCTGCTGTCTGTCCTTACCAACATGTTACTCATGCCATCTAGTGAAGATGCACAGACACCATTTTGATTTCACTGATGTTTCACAAAAGGTCATTACCTTTTAGGATGTACTAGTGCCACAGAAGGACACTAGAATTTACTAGTACCACTTCCACCATTGACTAAAGTGGCTATCATGGTCCAAACTATAGACTGACCTAATTGTTCTGAAGCCTTCTTAGTTTTCCATGACAGTTCTTGGTTCAGACTTAAGAGTCAATTTTGGAATTTGACCTAACAAACAAGTTTTATGATAGATAACATGTGGCACCCAAAGTTGTCCAACACTTTGGCTCTGGTTACTTAAATCTATACATATGTCCTTGTCCTATACCATTAGATTAACTGACCCCCACCCCAAACAATAACATAACACCCCACTAGAACAATCAAAGAATCATATGTAGCAACCTTTCCCCTACATTGTAGTATAAGAGAAAAAAATCTCTCTCATTTGTTACTAGAAAAATTCAAATCTGTCAAGGGGAAAAAGAACAAAGTGAAAATAAAAATTGACATATTGCACTCAATGTATTCCATCTTAGACTAACAGCAATTCTTTGTAGAAAATAAGACTAAAAGATTAATCTTAAAATCTATGAGTAGAGAAAGGATTATGGAACATATGGGGGAAAATAAGAATAATTGAGATTTGTTGGAACAGCTGGGAAAATAACAGTAAGAAGAATCAAATCTGGATGTGGGGAAAATATTCGTTAAACACTCAGTCAGTAAGGCAGTCAGTCAATATTATCACCAGCAGTTAAGAAATGGATCATACAGAAGAGATTTGCAAAATCAGAATTTCCACTTAGGACTGCACAGGTCCACTGCGGCACATCGTGTTAATACTAAGTGTCAGCTTCTTTTGTTGGAAGCTACCCTTAATCACTGCCAACATGCGTGGTACATGTTTGGAAACCAGTGGCCACATGTTTGTATCTTGAGACAAACTGTAAGATAGTCACATGTGTGTGTGTGTGTGTGTGTGTGTGTGCATGTGTGTAGAGGGGATTGTGTAGAACAAGCTTGCATACAACCAGTGGAAGAAAGAAAAATTTTACCTCACCTTTTACAAAAGTTGTTAGTTGTAACAGTAGAGAACATAAACCTAAGTTACTCATGTTGAGAAAAAGCTACTATTTGCTTTTAATTATTCACAGAGCCAACATAATTGTGTCACTAAAGTACAAAGGTTTGAAAATCTAAGTCTTAAAAAAAAATCCTAAATTTTTTTCAGAGCAAACGCTCATTAATTTTTGAAGAACTACAGGCTACTAAAAGCAAAACAATCCTTTTTAATGCAAGAATACGTGAAATGGGAAAAGAATTACAACAGAAGAAAGAGGAACAGGAAGGTGAAGAAGAGAAACTTGAAAATTTAAAGTAAGTACTTAATATTATGAAAAAAGTAATTATGTTTAAAATATTATTGACAAAGCGAGGTCAAATTTCCAGATTTAAAAATTTCTTCTTAAAATGGGCCATTACTTTGCATCAGAACTCTATGTGGAAGTACGTGTGTGTATTCAATCAGCTTTTGGTTTTATCAGCATAATTATATATAAATTACTTTCATTCTTCATTGCTGCGTGAGTTTATTCTCTCTGAAATAACAGGAATGTGCAGTGGCTTAGATGGGGATTGGCTCTCATAAGCCTCTTGGAATCAGAGCCTCAAAAAGTGATTAAATCAGGAAGGTGCGAAGTGTAGATGTTCATAGGCATTAAATGTAAACAAGAAGTTGATTACAAAATTCTAAAAACAGAGCTGAGTGTCGGTGAGCACACTATAATCTCTCCACTGGAGGGGCTGAGGAAAGGATCCTGGCGACTTCTAGGTCAGCCTATACTTCCCAGTGAGCTCAGGGTCATCCTGTACTGTGTGACAGGTAGCCTCAAAAAATAGACAATAAATAAAACAAAAAGTCTGAAAACAACCATAATGAATCAATTCTGGTTCTGTTGTTCACCATCTATTTGAGGTTATACAAGTATTGAACATGGGAATGTAGATTCCCCCTTTACAAGAAACTAATTATTGCTTCATAGTTTTGTGGATTAAATGAGATAGTATACAAATACCTTTACATTGTAGCCCATCCCAAAATAGTAGCCTTGCTGCCTTGCGCTAACTTCACACATGATTTAGTTTTTCTATTTTCAGTAGAGCTATTACCTAATGTGGACAGCAGTGAGGCTGTCCTGAGCTTGTACAGCTGTGCTTGTTCTAGATCGTGGATGCTCCTTACATTGCATTATTTCTTTAGCATATTTATTGTTGTCCTGATGTTTTCGTGCCTGTATTATTCCTTATGTAACTACTAACCTCATCGTATATGTTGTTTTACCTCCATCGACTGATGCAGTTAATTTCAAATAAAAGCGCACATACTCCTGCACTGAGAACACGGGTACACCATACCCTTAGGCCCTTGGAAGGACCGAGAACAATCTTCCTAGGTCTCTCGGTTCTAAGATTTTTCAATGTCTTTGAAAGTATCATGAATATATTTCCCAAAATAAAATGAATTGATCAGTGGGACCTGAAATTCTTTCTCCACAGAAATGTATTTTTAACTATGAAATTTAAAAAGGAACAAGCCCAAGCTGTGTTTGATCATCTCATGGAAGAGAAAAAAGCCTGTGAAGAAAGAATCGCTGACGAGGACAAGGCATTTAGAGCACTCTTTGCTATGAGGCAGAAGACCCTGGCAGACATTAAAGTGAGTATTCTTTTGACCATTTTAACATGAAGGAAATACAGTGATAGTCAAATTGGCGATAAGTTTGAGACATTCAATTTTAATGTGGAAATAACAATAATGTATAGATTTTTGAAATATTTGAGAATTTGTTAGCATAATAAATATAGTACTTCATTTTAACTGTACATAATTATGTTCATTAATCATATTGTATTTTTAATGCATTTTATAAATATTCTCCTTTTATTGTTGTGTAGGTTTTTTTTTTTTATTCCAGTACTATTTTTATATGTTTACTGGAGATGTAAGAATGGTTCTATTTTGTTTCTGAATAAATATATTCTGGATGTATACCTACCACCCTTATGAGAAAAATTTTGCCCAGTAGTTTAATGATACTGTATATTTGCTTTTATGAAATAGGAAAATTATATGATAAGATATATCTTTTAAAGCTGAATTTTTTTTAATCAAACTTTGTAAAGACCTATATCACAACATTTTCAATATACTGCAAATTACGCACATTGAATTCAGTGATGCCCATCCAGTTTTACATTTTGCAAAGGTTTTGTACATTCAATTATAATAAATGAATGATGCAATTTTTCTCAATATTTTATTTTTATTTTTATTTTTTGGGGAGATACCAGGGATTGCACTCAGGACCTTGTGCTTGCCCTACAAGCACTTACTCCGCTGAGCTATCTCCCCAGCCCTCAGTATGTTAAATTATTATTTATTTTTAAGATATATTCTGGGAGGTTTTTTCTCCTTAAAAAGGAAGAGTTCTCTTTACTTTAATAAAACAATCTTATTCAAACATTGTTAGTATATGCATAGTAGGTACTTTCCTCAGCTCTTTTAATCCTCATATTTATATATGAAACTAATATTCAGTTGCGGCATGTGTATTTTTAATCTTTCATAAGTGCAGAGTGTTAGTAAGTTTAAACAACTGCTTGGAACGAATGTATGATAAATAAACAAGGAGCAAATGAACACACCATACTGAGTGCTATTGCAGGGCTCCGTTCTATAATAAAATTATTAAAAGAGAAGTAATACTAATATTGGTGCTATTGCTATTCTTGTAACTAAAACTGTTAATAATGGTTTTACTAATAGCAGTGCTAAATAACGTTTTTCTCTTTTAAATGTGGTCACTACTTAGGGAAAGGATATATTTTTAATTTTTGCCTAAAAATACAAAAATAATTGGTGCCATCTAGTGGCAATAAATGAGGCCTCCGTGAAGAGGGATTCCAGGCTCTGAAGCTATCCCAGGGCTGTGAGGGGCGGCATGCTGAGGAATTCCGAGCTGGGAAGCGCTTCTCCGGCAAGAGCACATGAGTTATTTACGGGCTTCTGTGTCATTGTAGCTTCTCGCCTCGTGTGCTATCGCAGGATTGTAACTGCAGACTTGAATTCAGCCACATTTTCCAATAGTACAGGAGCTGCGAACACAGAGGCACTCCCCGTCCTACTGCCAGCTGAAATACAGCTGGCATTTCAGCGCTGCAGTGGAACGTAATAACTAGTGCAATGTGGCAAAAGACGGTCAGCAGGAGAGAGAGAGAGAGAGAGAGAGAGAGAGAGAGAGAGA